TAAGGCCGATCCGTGTGTTTTCAATTTGAGCCCTGTTGTCATTGTACTGAGGGGCTGTACCTACCCATAGAAATCTGATCTTGGTTTACGATCTGCACCCTCTTAAAATCTGAGAAAACTGGAACACAATCAAATGGGCTTAACATTTCAAACGGTGCATTAGAAAGTGGATTTCCTTATTAAAAATGTGAATTTCTGTGGGTGAAATGCCATCCGACTGAATTGTCATTTTAAATGCCAGGATTTTGTCCTGTGTAAGGCACAGACTCCTATGATCCCGATGGGGGAGGTCCATAAAAAAAAGTAAAAACTGAAGAGATTTGTACTGCAGCTCATTATTCCCAGGATCTCCTCCAGGAAAGGAGTTAATTTCCTCTTCGACCGCACCACTCAGGTTACTACCAAGGCCAGAGACCTTGCATCAAATTACATCCAGTACGCATGTTCTTTAGATGCTGCAGAAGCACATGTGCTGATAAGAAAAAATACAATCTCAGGGAATTCAATCCATCTTTCCAATCAGGCCCAGTAACTGCCAATTCTCTCAGGGCAGGGTCTGTAAGGCTATATATATCTATCCAACTTCAACTCTACCATGTCCAAGCAAAGCAAAATAAATCTGATTAATCTATTAGAATAAATTGATTTACCATTGACTTGCCTTTAAAGCTTGTTTAATAAACACTACAGATGTCCTTTATCTGGTTTAAGAGGGCTTTATAGTTAAGTTTCATTCTCAATACGGGACCAGATATTTTTCGAGAAAGAAAGTAGCAGGAAGTACTCGAGTATAGAGAGATTCATATAGGAAATAAGGAATATGATTTGTTTTATCCTCTTAACTTACCGCATAGTTATTAGAGATAATGTTCATCTTGAACCTATTTCTGTTGAAAAAAAAGTCATGATACATATTTCCTTTGCCCCACTGTTCATAACAAATCCCACTGAAGGATTTAGAGCTTAGCTCGCAAGAATGGAATACTAACTTTGCACTACTGCACAACATTGTTTACCACCAAACAACCTATGAAACAGTATCAATTGTATTACTTTCTCTTTAACGTAGTTATGGGCCAGCTGCCAATGTGTTTGTATGGCAATTATAAAACCAAATATTACAGCTACACAACTAAGAGTTCAAAGTCTTTGACTTATTTTCCCACTTGGAAATGAGATCAGTTTTAAACTGGGTGAAAGCTTCCATCAACATTAGAGAAGATGTTAATTTTTTAAAGCGAATTTCTGTGAAAAACATTTCACTTTTAACACCACATTGTTTCGTGGTCAATGAAAACAAGGGATTTCTTCAATCTAGGAACATACAAATGCAAAAATGTCACCCACAGTCTCCTTTCCCCACAAGTCAGTTTTCCCTTCACTCCTTTTGTGTAAAGGAGGTTACTGGTCCCCCTAGACCCCTTCTTGGCTCCTGGAAAGGGACAGTCTCTTTCATCAAAAGCTTGCCACTTATTTAACGAAGCAAGGCTTTCATTTATTGTTTGAGCTGGAAAAGATTATACTAGCTTGTGTTTACTTGACATAAGATGGGTGGAATTCAATGTCAAACATTCATTATTTTAATTTTGTCAAATTGTTGGAAGACATAAATGACATTTGAACTGACTCATGGAGTCTGCATAAATGTGGACACAGATGTAACAGCCTTGTCTGACTCTTCCGTTTCAACAATTATATATAATGTTCAACACTAACATTTCAAGTTAATAAAAACAATTTGGGGAAAAAAGGATACATGCCTCATTTTGACAGGTTATGATGTAAAGCCCCCTTCTACAGGTACGGTATAAATCATGAGATTGTCAAGCTGCTTTTAACTGAAACTGAACGGCCAACTTTTCAATAAGCGGGAGTCTGACAGATTAAAAGCCATGGAGACTGACCAGGGGCAGAGGGTGAGAGGGAGAGGACGGAGCAAACTTTGTCCTGAAAAGCTGCTTAAAAAAACATGACTTGAGTGTGAAACGAGAGGAGAGCTGGGCTCAGACTGGGGTCGATTTAATTAACAAATAAAGAGAGAAAGAGGCAGACAAAAGCCAATGGATTTGACTGAAAAAAGACCTAATGTGAGGCAAGGATTGCCGATGTCTACAAAGAGAAGACTAATGAGATGGAAAGTGATTAACACTTCCAAATTGAAAATTATTCTGCTCCGCAGAAGCTACAACTCATAGGAAGAAACAGGGCTTGTGGGGGGGAACTCTGTAGAAATGGGCTAATTAAGTGAGTAAAAGGGAATAATGACTTCTTCTTCAGAGGGGCTAGCAACAAAAAGAGCAAGGAGAGAAAATCAAGAGCTGGGCTAAAACATTTAAAGACTCCTCACTTTCTTCTATGAATAGATCATGGCAGAAATAGACAGCAAAGCAGATTTAAACTTTCCCACAAAGATAAAGTCCAACTCTTCTTTTTGGTTTCAAAGCTTCTGAAAATGAAACCGTGCAACTAGAACATTGAAACAAAAACATTCAAACATTCGGCTGGCACCAGACATTTTTCTTGAATATCCATCACATAAATGTTTAATACTTTTTAAAACACTTTTTTTATAAGTTGTTGAACAAGATTTTCCTCAACAGGATCCACAGAAGAATTAAACAAAATTGAATGTTTTCAATGACTTTCCTGCATTTAAGAATAAATGTTTAACAAAATGTGAACCATAGGACTAAGTCATCATAAAATGCTAAAAGAGATCTGTTGAATCATTTATGGCTATAAATCACACAAAACAAGACCCGCTAGAACTTTGCCCACCCATGTGTATCTAACTAGAAGGAAAAGACTGTAATTTCATCTCTACATTAATCCAACAGACTCGAGACAGATGCAACACAATTCCTCACTAGCAAGTTCAGTACCTGCAATCAATTGGGTTCACTGTCCTCGGAGCAGCCAGTGTTACTCACTAGTTTTTCTGTTCTGATTTCTTAAGCAGGGAACAAAGAACCACTGTTTTAGAAGGGAGCTGAGCATACCTGTACAAATCTCTTCAGCTGTCTCAAAACAGCAATCCACATTGCTGTTTGGGTCTACAGCAAAAAAAAAAAAAGATGCCTGCTGTCTGCCCTACCTTATTTTACTTATCTCCGTTAAGTAAGGAATGGCCAACCAACCTGCAAGTAGCCTTCTAGAATAATTTCATTAATTATTCAAATCCAAGCTAGAGGACACTCCACAACAATCAGTTTACAACCTTTGGCCTCACTTTGAATCACTGTTGTGCTTTTAGAGGGGTCGTCACTTTGAAATCAAAATAAATCAATTCCCTGCCAAGTATGACAAATCAATTCAAAATACTGTACAGATGAATGGATAAACAAGACCTGCATTGTTCCCTTAGCCAGGGGAACACTCACTCTACACTTTCATCTCCTACCAACTTCTCTCCCCTAAAATATGCACATTAATTAATGGTGCACACCACTAACTGAAGGCATTACTCAGATATACCATATACACCTTACTAAGCATTTTAACAGTTGAGCATTTTCAAGACAATGAGCAATGCAATTTTAAATATATAGCTGACACAACCAACTGATGAAGTACAACTTTGGTCTGCCTTTTTTTTAAATAGAAAAGGGAAGTAAAACTCCTTTCCATTACAACCTACATGGCAAGGTCACTTAAATACACCCTCTATAAAATGCATTAGTTGGAAGGAAAAGTCTTTCACGCTTCAGGCCAGTATATTACAAATAAAAGAGCCCAGGAAGGACAAAAGCTATTCTAATAGACAGTGGCCACAGATGGTGTGGAAATACCAAGACGTTAAAGTGCAAGCAGACTTTAATATGGAGTTTTATTAATACAGGTTAAGTACTAGAGTAGCAGCTGGATAGAATTTAGCTGGGCATACAGGGACAATCACACTCCTTCAAATACATCAAAAGAAAGAGGCTAACTTCAGTGCTAGAAAATGTTCATACTCGCCAAAACCTCGACGAGAAATTGCGATATTAAATCAATATTGCAGATAGCTCCAACAAAAATCAAAAGTTGTATGTTTTGGGAAGAGAAATTCCAAAGATTACAAAACCTGTTTGCAATAAGAACAATTTAAACATACATGTATTGGTGCTTACTCTCCAAAAACACAATGGTAATGGAGTGAAACTGTGACACCTGGTGGCCTGCTTTCCAAACCAAAAAATGACAATTCAAAAGGACAAAAAAAACTAACCATTTATTTGAACATAACAGCACATTAACAAAAACACACTTCATTGTATTTACCTCATTCAGATTTAATTTGCCTTACTTAAGGTTTTTCCCCAAACGTTATGAAAGAGTGCGTATTTAGGATAAGTGCCACATTTAAGCAATGTGGAGTATATTTAAGCTAGTACACAATCATTTTGGATGTGGATGTGAGAGCTCAAAGGCTTGCAAGAAAGTGGCTACAATTCATTCTGAGTAAAACTGTACATTCAATTAAGTATACAGCAATTGTATTCTTGTTGCACATAAACTATTCAACTATAATGTTAGCCTGTGCAAATAAAGGCAAGATTAAAATTCTTGTTTTTACAAAGTGGAAAAAATATAGAATTATAAGTACCTTTTGAAATAAACTTCAAAGCTGTTTGATTTCTGAGGTTTCTGGCAGTTTAAGATAATGGTAATTAAAATGAAACAATGCATAGAACAAAGGCAGAACAATTACCCTTAATTTCATCCTTATTCTGGTAACATGAAAAACAAAGGATATATAATAAAACGGTCATTTATTTTATCAGACAAGCCACCGAGAAACAACTCTTAACATTGAAAGTGGTTAACCTGACAAAACTTCTTTCAGTGTTACACTACTGACTTCTGCTGAGGTTGAGATGTGCTACAATTTTTTAAGCTTACCGACATTTACTATGTCAAAGAAAAAAAACAGGCCACCCAGACCATAAATATTAAATGTTTTCAATAATTTAAACTTGTAGGTGCTGGTAATTTGTATTAAAAAAACAATCACTTTCAAAATAGTTTAATTAGTAATTTTTAAGAAACAGAACCAAGTTAAATTTTGCTAAATTGAAAAAAACTGAAAAAATGGCTTCTAAAATTCAACAATACTGCCACAAGAACACATTTTTTGACCAAAGTATTTTTAATTTTGTAATAAACTTAAACTTAAGTTTTATTATAATTAAAATACATTTGAACCTACAACTTTATGCAGCAGAAAAATATTTTCAAGTGGTAATAATTCTCAGCTGAATTACAAGCAGTTTTTATGATAAGACAACACTCATTCATAAAACTGTACATAGCAATGACCAAATCACTACTTAAGACATGCATTATGGTCTTTTCAGCATCGAGTTATTTACAGCACTATCTAATGGAATCGGTCTTATAGGAAAGGCTGTTTCATGACTCATCAGACCCATTCTCTTGTGATTTTTGGTCACTATCTTCAGAGGGAGAAATGTCCTGGAAGACAGAAGATAAGCAAAATAAACAAAAAATCAAACAAAGATTAATACTGTTCCTATACTGATGCCTTTGTATAAGTCACTAAATTGTGTTCTGACAAATGTATAGTGCCAAGGCTGTAGCCTAGAGGTTGCCAGATTAAATCTAGCCGACGTGGACATCTGAATCAAAACGCAAGCTTTATTAAAGATGCACATGCTACTAGGGTGGGTGGAGCAGAGAGAGCTTATTGTACCAATGATTTCTGTGATCTCCTCACATCTAGCGTCTGGATTTTTTAAACCTCAGCCAAGGCTGTTAGCCTTTAGTCTGACACGAAAGCCCCACCTTCTTTACATTTGTATTCTGCAACAATTTAATACATCTTCTAACTTTATTTCCAATGGATTTTTAGCATCTCCTTTCCAATTCCGCTCTGGAAGGCTTACACACACACTAAATGGTGTGTGATGATGCTGTGAATGGCAGAAGAAGCAGTGTAGTATTTCAGAAATACCATGTTTTCAAGATCAGTAGCAACAGAAGTTTTAGAAGTACTTCTGAGCATGGTAAACTTAACTTTTGCTCCACAATAAAATGTGTGTGAAACATTAAGAATCCACAGCTAGACCTCCTTCTGACATTTGGTGTATATATAGCCATAAAAAAAACATGCTATTGCAAACAGTCACAATTGAATCAGAAATGGGATCAACATCTAAAAATCAATAGTAAGCCTACAGAGTAACTAGTTTTGTCCAACTGTCCAGCCAGTTAAAATCAAGTGTGGTTTAAGGATCTTTCTCACCATTGTTGCTTGGAAGTTGATTCTTTAATGCTACAGAACACAACACATTTGCAGTGTAGTTTGGTTGTTTTTCTCTACATCCAAAAATGAAGCAGAAAGGATCAAATCATTCTACTACAGATATAGTAAGGGGCTAATGAGTGCCAAATCACTTATCTTTTGTATCAGTGTTATACAGTTACAAATCAATCTTCTAAAAAATAGCTAAAAACCTGTAACTAGGTAAATTAAATTATACCAATTTTCTTATTTCCTGCAGTTAGGCCACCACTGCAATTGATATCAATTGGGCAAAAATACCAAACAGGAAGGGGAGACTAATCCGGGATCGGGGAAAAAATAAGCTTGTGTAATTTGCAGCACTTAGAATAGAGAAACTTGTCTTGTATTGAACATATTCTTGAATGCAGGACCACTGAACATCTTGTTTTTTTTTCCCCAACACATTTTAGGAATCAAAAAAGATAAATTCTTGATTACATATTAATTCTGTATTTAAAAGGTTGTACAAACCTTTTTTAGAACACACTGCACTTCTTCTGTTAAAACCTTCAAATGACTGACTGTTGAGTGCAGTTGGTCTTCAAAGCGGGATCTCTTTTCTTCTGAAGCTTTCAAATTCTCTTCTGTTTGACTAAGGTCATTTTTAATTTCTTCAAGCTCAGCAGAAAGGCTCCTGTTGCTAGTCTCCAGCTGCAAGATGAGTTTTCCATTTTCTTCTGTAATTAACAAAAACAGGCTCTGTTTAGCCCTTGCCAAGTCAGCACAGATACAATTACTACAACTTTTTGAAAATCAAAATCATACCAAAACCTATAAAACTTTATAATCTATTTAAAGCGAATGAATGTCAAAATGGTAAAAATAAAGGCTATTATACATTTAAAATGAATACAAACATGTTACATAAAATCAATATTCTTCTTTCCCAATACTATGTTCTCATTTTACACCTTTAACTTGACAGCTTTGGCTAACAGCAAATCATTTTTACACTTGATATAGATAAATCAATATGAACATATTACAGGAAGAAATAAGTACATTCAGATTTAGAGTGAACTGTGATGCCTGCATCAGTCTCTTCGCTCAGAGGGATTGCTCTTACATACCGCTCTTGGCCTCCTGTAGAAGGAGCTTCTGTTCAATCTCTTCCCTGGCTTTCTCACTCTTCTCCAGTTTCTGCATCAGGCTGCCCACGTCGACCATGGCGCCATTATATACGAAGAGACCGCCAGAGCCTTGAGATTCACTGGGTTGCGACTTGGCTTTATGGGAGGACAGCAGTAGTTTGTTTCCTGAAAAACAGAATTCACAAATAAGCAATATCTTCCATGGCTCCAGCTTCATTTATCAATCATGACCTTAAAACTATGAGGAACAACCCATTTTTGTGAGCACAATCTGCAGCACCTTCACATTCTCTAATACAACACTCTGATCTTCAGTAGAGTTGAAGCAATGGGACCTAAAGAAAGAATATTTAATATATTACAACTTCAGGACTGCAAACAGACCTGACACACGCCAGGAAACTTCTAAAAGGACAATTACAATGGCAACAGAGAGAATGAATTACTGCAATAGATGTTTGTATCCCCTCTCAAGTTCCAGAGTAAGAGCTTTGCATTATATATAGGCCTGCCATGATTTCTGCACCATGAACACCTAAGCCCCATTAACTCCTGAACAGAAGTGACACAAAGGTAAGAAGTATGTCAGACCACAGGACGAAAGAAGAGAATCAAATACAAATTTTTGTTTGTCACAAACGGCAAAAGTATGCAAAAGAAACTGGCCTTAACAAGTCACAAGAGACAAGATAGCTCAAGAGTCTAAAACATTAAGCCAAAAGTCTTCACTGGAACGACAAGGCCTTTCTTCCCGACGTACAAAAATAGCTCTCAAACATTCATTTCTCTTTGTTCAACTTTAAAGTACATTTGCTTACCTAAAAGGTTGTCCTGCTGGGCCTCAGCAGTGAGTGGGGCTGGTTCATCTTTTGGTCGATCAGTTAGTTTCCGGTAAAAGCACGATTCCCTAACAACTGGTTTATTGAGCAATTTCTTCACCTGAAAGAAGAGGATTGTGTAATAACCCATGAAACACATGCCACCAAGCAGTCTTCTTTTGTATGTATTTGATATGTAAATTTAACATCTGAACAACTAATCACTACAAAGAAATTATAGGCCTTTTTTTTAAATCAAGATCTGCTCAGTATCTGAAATCTGATTCTCTGAAATTAAATGGACAAGCTAGTAAAACTGCCCCAGTGCTTTAACTTCATAAACCTTCTGATTATACATCAGAATGCAAATACTGTACATTTGTATGAAAGATACTTGACAGATTAGGTTTTTAAATGTTGGCACCAGATTCTGCCGCACTATTTGAAAGAAAGTTTTATTGGATTTGGAACTTTAAAGATCTTATGACTTGTCCTGGGTATGAGCAGGCAATTTGTTAAACATTAGCTGGACAAGAATGAATAACTTTAAATAAGAGAGGCATGATATAATCAACTCAATAATTGTGGTGCTTCAAGATGTTTAAAGAGAAGTCGAAGCCAAAAAGCATCTTATTTCACATAATATTGACTCCACCTGTGCTCTGGAAAGGTGCAGCCCGAGAGTGTACATGATTTCTTCAACGTCCTTTTCAAGCAGATATCCGCAGTGACTTTGATCAAAGTACACAAAAGCCATTAAAAGGTCTTTATTGTATGTTACCATTTGTTTCTTCTCCTTTTCCTATGGAAAAACACAATAAAATTATTTGATTTGGTAAATTGCTTTTTGCTGTACCTGACAATTCAAAAAGCAGTTGAATTTAAGAAAATGTTAGGTGGATTGGTAACAAACTGCAGCCAAATAAAACCAAGAAAACCAACATGGTTGAAAGTTCTATTTTCATGCAGCCACTCCTTTAAATAGTAATCAACACTAGAACTAATCATTTTCAGTTTAGAACTGTGGCGTAATCTTAACCTGGTTCTGCCTTGGAAAAACATCAAAGACGAACCTTGTCTTTTGAAGACCTCTCTTTAGATTTCCTGTCATCTCTTCTGTCATCCCTTTTGTCTCTTCCATTTGAATCTTCATCATCTTTGTCTACAGGCACAAGGGAAACATGTGGGAGGGAGAATTATCTCTAACCAATTTATCATGAGAACTACAAACCTGATCTATAAAGGGAAGTTTTGCCAAATCAATTCTAATAGTAGCCTAGCATTTGACCTCTCTATAGCAGAAATATAAAAAAACCTTAAAAGTACCACTGTGCTGTTTCTTCAATAAAAATGCTTTTAATTTGGCCAACAGAGCTGGAAATTCATTATGGAATGTCTAAATCACTACCGTCATCATCGTCATCATCTGCTTCCTCAGCCTCCATGGGGTCATACTCCTCTGCGTTCATGTTACTGCTCTCCTCTTCATTATCCTCCTCGTCTTTAGATTCCTCTTTCTTCACTTCTTTTTCCTGGTCCTTCTCATCTTCCTGGAAATAAAAGAGATTTGGTTACGTATTTTGAGCAGATGCTGCGACGAAAACCCCATCCTGTCCAAAAAACACATTTGTAACCAACTAATATCCCTCCATTTGGCAAAACAGTCTGAATGCAGCATAAAAAACTCTGAAATGTCCCCAAAGCAGGCACTATACCACAGCCTACAAACAGTGCTTGGTGCAGGTCTTTGTAAATATAATTAACCGATAAACCATGTATACCCCTATTGCAGAGGGTCCATGTTTCAAAGCAATCATGGCAACAGTAGACCAGGAAGAGAGAAGGTAGGAAAATGGATTGTAAATGTGATATATTTGGTGTATTCAAACTGCAGTTAGAATTTACAGACCATAAGCCACATTCAGGGTCAAGTTTAAAGATATACACACAAAGGCATAACAAGGTAGCAAATGGCCTGTTTCACAGCCCCCTCTTGTGGTCTGTAGGGAAGCTGGTCTCTACATTCATTTACACTTGTGTGCAACTAAATAACATCATAACTGCTGTTAATTATTTTTAAGTAAAACCTAAAACATAAAAAAAGTTAAGACCGTCCTGGCACTGGAAGTACTCGAGAAAGGTAAAGGTTCTGTGCTCCAGAACGGTCTTTGAAACATTCTTCACCATTGTTTTTGTTGCTTTTCTGAAATGTAATAAAAGCTGCAATTCTAGTTTGGTGTGGGATGGCTGAACAAGACGTTATAAACACCTGTATGATTTCACAGCTAGCAAAATTCTGTATTTCAAAAGGTACATCTGCATCACTACAAGGCTCTTTAATTTCAAAAGAAATATACAGCTTTCTGACAAGACTATAAACCACTCTGCTAGAGGATACAAGCATTACAGTTAGAGATGTAATCTAGTTGTCCTGGTGAATTGTTCTTCATGGACACTGTGGGCAGGACATGGTATTAAGTGGTAAGAAGCTGATGCATTCAAAGTTTGTGTGAGAAAGTTTATTGCTGAGAGATACTTGAAGAAGTACCATACTCATGATAGGAACCCTGATGTGTATTTGCTGGGTTACTCAATCTGCTTCAAACCTTTCACTAAAAAGAAGCACTCAGAACTATATGTGAAGCATTACTAAGTAACAGTAGTGCATTAAGTTAAACTACAGCTTCTACTTCTGTGTATGTTTCTTTATTAGAAATACAGAGGAAATAACCAGACAGGGTTAACATTTAAAACAAACTCACCTTTTTATCCTCCTTCTCATCAGCACATTTAATTTTTTTCACAGATGGTTCCCCGTTTTCATCTTCCTTCTCCTCTTTTACTTCTTTTTTCATTTCTTTTTTCTCAGCTTCCTTCTTCTCTGCTTCCTTTTTCTCGGCCTCTTTTTTTGCCTTGTCTTTCTTCTCCTTTTTCTCATCCTTCAGAGGTACGGAGGCCAGAGCTTTGTAGATTCTATAACCAAAATCCCTTTGGAGCATTTCATTGAACAACTCTGCAAAAAGGGAAACCTACAAAGAGGAAGACATTACATAATTTCTCTGGGTACATTAAGCCTTCCTGGGTTATCATATATCAACATGAACTAATCCAACTATGGCATCACTCCGAAGAATGATATGAACAACAATGGTTTAACACTATGATAGATATGGGGTAGATTGTCTCTAGTATAACATCATATGATGGAATGAAACAAAAACTTGAGAAGCTCAAATCATTTATAAAGCATGTACACTGCACTAACTTCACAACTTGTTTTTGAAAAAGGAAAAACAATATTGCAACAAAGAAGAAATATTTGAACCAAACTCAGTCTTGGAGTAAGGATCCAGATCAGAATGGTTTACTTAGATTAAAAAGGATGGTTACAGTGTGACAGGAGACATTAAGAATGTACTTCAGACACCACACAATGGTTAAAAATAGAAATTTACTTTAGCCATAAAATTAATATTACTTTAAATAATTATTTGAGCTTACTTCAAATGAATGTTCTTTGTTGTCTTCCAGCCTGTAGTCCAGAAGGACACTCAGGGACATGATGCTGCAGTCAAACTTGCCATTCTTGGCTGCCCAGTTGGGATGAACAATGATGGTGGGCTCCTCTGGCAGGACGTAGCGCCTCTCCCGACGCTGTCGCTCTTGTTCCTCTTGACGTTTTCTTTCTTCTTCCTGAAGTGACATTGGAATAAAAAATGTCATTTTTTCCAAGACATTCAAACCAATAAAAATGAAACAACAACCACTACTCGAGCCAGGCAGAAGCACTTTTGCACAGCCCACTGCAAATTACATTCTAACAACAAAGAGAAGGAAGAAACATCTAGTTGATTTTCTGGCATCTACAGACATTTTTTCATTGATAATCTTCAGAACAACCTTCTCTATACACTTGATATATACGTGACTTTGCACTCCTCAGTAACACTATTACTATTACAACAAATTATAACAATACTGTTTTTAAGACAATGGTCATTTTGTGGCACTGGAACATCTCAGTCTCCGGCTCCACGTTTTAGCTTCTGGAATCTGAGTAAAGCTCGCTCGAGTTTGGATCTCTGCCTACCTCTTTGTCTTCCTCTACCCTAGACGGCTCCTCCTCCACTTCTGCCAGGGCCTCAGGTTTCTCTGGCTCCTTCGCCTCATCAGTCTGCTCCTCTACCTTCAGCTGTTTGGTGAGCCTAGCAATCAGCTGGGATTTCAGACCTTTGGAGCTCAAACTACGGCTTTCCAACTCCTTACGCAGATCGTTCACCTTCAGAACACAATTGATTATTTGATTAAAAGACATGTTCATTTAAAAAATGTTTCCCATTTGTGTTAAGTCATACTATTCTCACTGTAGTCATATATGCAAAGCTGGTAGTATATGCACAGACAAGAGCACTTAGCTCATATTAATTTAAAAAGAAAACAAAGACGGGAAAATAACGCTTACTATTCATATATACACTGGAAGGTAAAGCAAATGCAAAAAATGAGTATTGGAACCAACCAGTGCAAGTTGGACCCTAACCTGACAGACAATGAGCCAAGGCAGGATGCATTGTGGAAGGGAAGCCTGTCCATCACAGAGAGACACACACATAGGCTCATATAGGGGACAATTTGGGGATGTAAATTAACCTAGGCATTAGGTGGGACTGCGGAAGGTAACTGGAGCCCCTGGAAGAAAGTCACGTAACCAGAGACAGAGCATGCGGGCTTCAAACAGAGAGGCACCCCATGCCACATTCAAACTCTGGACTGCAGAGCAGTGAAGAAGCATCAGTAATCGCCACCCTTTGGACATCCATAATCCCTGGTGCTAACTTGTTAATATTGTGAAGCTCTCCACAAATCTAAGATTCATAAAATAAGATGTATAACCCGAGTTAGACAATGTACCTAACCAAAGCTGTACAGACACCCACTCAGCGCTTCACTTTGGGTATGCGCAAGCCTATTACTAATAATCAGCATGTACAGCGCACTAAACACAAATAAAGTACTGCCCACCTTCATTGACTTCGGATCAAGTTTGGACCAGTGGGTAGGAGTGGATATTTCTTTTGATTCTTCTTCGTCTTTCTCTTCTTCCTCCTGGATCAAAACATGTTGACAAAGAGAAGAAATAAAAAATAAACATGCTACTTCTACAGTGGTCTGCCACTCATTCATTCTGAAACAAAGTTGATCCGTGCAAGTAGCAAGGCCACAACTGTCTCTCATTGTCTCCTCCTATTAAGTTATAGGTAAGGTAAGATACACTGCTACATTACATGGATGTTCTCTAGCTTTTTAAAGACCAAATGCGACCATCAGCCAATCAAAGCCAGATCTGTGGAATACAAAAAGGTCATCAATGACAGTAGGTCCAAAGGATGTATAAGACAGGTGCACACAAAGCTGGTTTCCAAACTGTGTGTGTTTTCCCTAAGCCTAGCTGTACTCCACCGCTTGAAGATTATTATTTCTAGTCCCTCGAAAAGATTGGAGACTGTCGCTCAACCAACTGCCCTGGAAAATCAAGCACTTCAAAAAGGGTCTAATACAGAGTCCAATCGGAGAGTACCACAAATCAAAAGGGACAGACAAGAGACAGAATTTAGAGGTTTTGGAATACGGCATATACTGGCAAAATAACAAGGCTGAGACACTCAGCAAAACAACTGGTCCTCCAGTTTCCAGCACATATATTTTTGAGGCTTAATCCCACACTGAAAGGCCAATCAAATTAGCTTCACATATACCCATAATCTCAAATGTGCAGATGACATTGCATGAAATTTTGTTCTGTTATTTATTGAAAAATGCAGTCCTAAGAATTGACAGTTGCTGAGACACCAAGCTGGAAGCTGTTTTACCAGTTGCAACAGTAAGACCTATGCTCCTTCCCCTGCATGTAACTGCTTTGTAGTGTTTGGATGGAGTGGGGAGGGAGGGAGGTGGTAGCCGGGTGGGAAGAGGGGAGTATGGACAGGTAAACGGGATTGAATATAGACTTTTTATTTTTGTTTTTTTTGTGCCTGTTTTTCCTGTGCCTGTGAGAAGCGGAAATAAGAAAAAGGGATTAGCGTTCAGTGCCTGTTCTCCATCAGCCTCCTTTCGTTCAGCCAGGAGCTTCTCTGCCAGCTGCTCCTTGAATCCTCGGGAGAGCGACTCCCATTCTGAGCGGGTAGGAAGACAATGCCAAACATCCGGGAGAAATAAAACCACTGTCTCCACATGAGCAGGAACTGTACGCCCCTTGTGTGTCTCCTCAGGGCGGTGATAGCGAATCTCTGCAAAACGATACCTGTCGCAAGGGAAGAAGCGTATTGGAAAGAAACATTCTATAAGACATCTTAAAGAGCCTACCACAAGCTTACACTTTCCTAACTCCCCCAGTTCTGTCCAGCTCTTAAACAACCTATAGGCTCCCCACCCTCTCCATTTCCTCCCCATAGGCAAAAATCTGCAGATCCAAAGTAGCTTCTCATCTTGAATGGCAGCCACAATTTCTAAAGGTTCACACAAAAAAAAGACAGGAAACCTGGACACATTCGCTTTTTATCACTCCTCGTGTGCATATTGTGTGTGTGTGTGCAAGTTAAATGACTGTCCCTTTAGGAAGGGGACAGATTACAGACCCAGAGGGTTATCAAGGAAATAATAAAAGAAAGTTATATATAAAAAAGAAAAAAAAAGAAAATAATGAGGCCATGGACGACGACTCCTCCAGCACAGCTCTTGAGCGACAGAATTAATGCATTCACCACATCAAAGTCAATCGGGATTGGTTTGCAGGACATTAGCATAGACAGTTGAAAATTGAAAGAAAATTAATAATCATTTTTAAAAAGCATCCAACACAGAAATAGGATACAAAATGTGTGAAGCATGCAGTCCTTCAAGACCATTTTAGTACCACACCTTATTAATATTTCAACACGCATCAAATGATACAATTATAATAAATCCTGTACAAGTTTATACTTACCACTGCGTGCACATACTCAGGTCAATGCCTGTGAGTGCCTTACAACAACGTATAGCAGTCTTTATCAGGACAGATGCATCATTTTCTGGGTCAGCTCCATCAAGTGAAGGAGACCAATGCCCTCCAATGGCCATGGCTTCATCCTTGCCTTTCATTCCGACTAAGAACTAAAGAAAACAACTTTAAACATTAGGCTCCTGAGGGAAAACAAAATCCTTACTCATCTTGCAAGAAAAAACATTGAAACATTGAAATGTTGGAATGAGAAGCTTTTGGAGAGAACTTTTACTTTCCAAAAGTAAAAATGTAGCTATGAAACTGCTAGTGTTAACCAATGCTTGACATAAGTCTGTATGCCACAGTCTGGCATTATAATTCATCTTCACTAGAGAGCAGGGATCAGTAGTTTTTATTCCACATGATTACTTCAGAAATGGAATAGGATCTGACATCATTTCTTGCTCTCCAGCAGCATTGCGAATGTGAAATTTATACCTTTATCAGTCGTGCTGGATGCTGAAACGAATCCCTCAGCTCCTGTGGATCCTCAGAAAGGGCACAAGACTTATGATAGAGATCCTCTAAGCTTGGGTTTGCCAAGAGCATCACCTGGAGAACAAGACATGTCAATTTTAAGTCAAGACCAGGTAAACCATTTTGTTCTAACTAAACTTTACACTCCTTGAGAATTTTAACTATTTAACCAATTCCATTGTTATCCTCTCAAGTAAGATACCCCTGATTAAAAGACTACACGTGTTGATCAAAATATGTTTTACGTGAATTATTCGACATTTGAAGAATTCCCTGCCCATCAGTTTTACGTATGTACTGCTATCTCATGCACCACCAAATAGTTACAACATAAATAACATGAAGAACATCATAAAAACACCAGTCACCTTTGCGCTGTATGAGTGATTGGCATCTGCAGGATCCAGTACTGCAGTGTTCTTTACCAGAGGATCCACCTCTTTGTGCATGATGTGAAAGTTACAATAATTTCCAAACTGAAAGGGTCGGGACACAGGGAAGGCATCCACCCAGGTGAACTCCGCATTAAAGAAATCGCTGGGGATGTACAGGTTCTGGTAACGTCTTCTGAGCTCCATCATGTCACAGTTAGAGCTGGGAAATGGAAAGATGGGGAGATCATGCGCATCGTGTCTGATTCTATCATGCAGAAAGCTTCTGCAGACTGCAGAAAAGAACATGGGAGCAAATATCAAGTGTATTAACAGATCTCTACAAATTCATTCTAGTTTGGCTGAACCAACGCTGAATTCAAGCAAAGTATCTATATGAGAACCATTGTTGTCCGTGTGGACAAAGTTCAATTGTAGACAGACCAACTAACTGTAGACTACTATTTTAAATTTTAAACCCACATGCAAGGGGAAAAGAACATTTTACAACACGTGCTGCCATTCTACATACAAAGTTTACTGGTACCTCCTTAATACTTAAAAGGATACAAAGAACTGCTTGTCCACAAAAGTCATTTTTTTCTTTGCATTGAATTTTTCTCAAACATAAGCTGACTGAAACAGTCATGTTCAAACTACTTGCATGATCTGCATGCTTTCTTTTGAACAGAACATAAACAAGGCTTTATATTTACAAAACTGTAGACAGAAACAGACTATAAGCACTACGGTCAGGTAACATGCATCCTGACATCTTTGGTCTTCTGACGCTGAAACTTTCACCAATTGGCTCATTTTATGTGGGCAATGAGTTAGGAAAAATGCAGGTGATATGCAAGATCTGACTTGGACCTACCAGTCGAGGGAGAATTTGGAGAACTGCACAGTGTATCGTGGGACAACTCTGCGAGGCCTCCTTGGGGACCTGTCTCTGCGAGGAGAGCGATCTCGAGAGCGCTTGCGTGTGGGGGAGCGTTCGCGGGACCGCCGCCTGTCTCGGTCCCTCTCGCGGCTAGTGGCAGGAGAGAAGAGGAGAAGGATCTTTTTTGAGGGGACTAAAACCACAATCAAGTTTAAGATTCTTAAAAGAATGTGATTAGTTCACAGACGGGAATTTAAGGATACTGAATTGCAATTCTGAAACACATTTACGGAGCAGGAGGCATCCAACTCGGTAGTCAAGGCTGTCATGTATGTGCTGTAGATAAGAGACTGTGTTCTGTAATCTTTTGAGAAGATTCAATGTTTTGTTTCTATGACAAGTCAAACTTTTAGTGGTCAAAACACTGAATTTCATACGGAAAAAAAAAGCTCCCAAAGGCAGGACAAGGTGATTAAACACGGAGGCTCACCTGCGGTCATCTTTCCTGATCATGAGGTCCGCCCTGTCATTGCGTCCAGGGAACCTGGGTGTGGGATCCAGCCTGCGGGCCGGCTGGGGCTGGGGCATCATGCGCACTGGCGGCTGGAGCAGACCTCCCGAGAACACACAGTCTGCCAAAAGAGAAACACTGGCCGTCACCTCCTTCACTTCACCGCACAAACTACCGAGTCAGACAGAGTGCTGATGATTATGAAAACTACAACTTGACCCGCTTTATGTATTAAAACAGATTTTTCTATATTTGAAGAATTAATACATTAACCATAAGCAAACCTATATAGAACCATGCCTGACTCTTATAAAGTAGTATTGCTTACTGTATTATTATTGACAGAGCTCCTGAAAGCACCGTTAGGAGGTGGCCTTGATCCTACCTTTGGGGGGCGGCTGGGGCAGCAGGGGCTGCGGTGGGTTCTGCAGCAGTGGCGCCAGAGAAGCGGCTGACAGCTGCGCCTGGAGCAAGGAAGGAGGAGGAGCCTGGGCAGGAACGCTGAAGGTGGTGGGCGGAGGCAGGGACTGCATCATGGTCGGGCCAGTCTTCATCATGGTCGGCCCTGGGGGCTGGCTCTGCAAGAACAGGGAGGACACCGCTGCGTTAGCCTCTGAAACATCGGCGAAAGGGGCAGGTCACACTGACAGAGCATGTTCAGTCTCGGTCAAGGTTACAAGCTTCTTCAATGCCGGTGCCCAGCTCAACCGAAGCTGGGCTCGCGCGCGCTGGAGCGGCCGATGTTAGACTGGTGTGTGGTGTGTTGGCACAACAGGAGCTGCCTGGAAAATGGGGCAGGAAACTGTCCAACTAAGACATCTAGAAAATTAAATGTTGAGACTGCTGACAGGACATTTCTATGTCTCACATGGCAGACAAAACATCCTATACATCTCATATTGAGGCTATTTTGGAGTTTCTAATCCAATGAAAAAAAAAAATCAAATGTTCATCTAATCTCATTTTATAAAAAAAAATCTAAATCTAATGGTTGACCAAAACCACATCAAGCCATACAGGGAAATGATAGAAAATCATTGTTCAAGCCCCTTAGACGTACAGCTGCACAATGAGGTCATGGCAGACAGGACAAGCTGAGCACTTCAAACCGAGATAAGATTGGCTGTCCAGTGGAACAGAACACTTAAACTTTCTCGAAATGAAGCTTCTGCACAAGACCATGAACCCCAATGGGCAAAAGGAGGTAGACCACTGTACTAATAAAGCAAAGGGCAGAGTGACAGACCGTATCCTCAACACATCAAGTTCATGTACTGGCTTTTATTGAACAGTAGACAATGTCCCAATGCAAATCTTCATTTGAAGCCAAATTAAATCTTAATGTCCTTTTTAGTAATACCCAGGACAAGAAACTCAAGACCTGTGTAGCAGATAGCATTAAGACAATCAATATCAATCACAGGGCAAAGATAAATCATACTAGAGCCAGAAAACACCATATATACAGTGGTGGCCAAAAATACTGGCACCTTTGCACTTTTTACAAACAACTCAATTTTCTCTAAAAATAAGTTTAAAATTGACCAAGGTATTTGGTCACCACAATTCTTTATCTCATTGTTAATATTACAGAACCTTTGTTTTTGATTCAGAACTTAATATATCCTTTTAAATCAGAAAATAAAAAGATGGTATTAACAAAATTGACACCCCAGACTCAATATTTGGTAGCACAGCCTTTGGTCAAAGTAACTGTAATCAAGTGATTCCTATGGCCATCGATGAGCTTCCTCTACTGTACTGGCAGTCTGGCCCACTCTTGCGCAAATGTCTCCAGTTCTCCCAGATTTGAAGGGTGTCTTCTCCCAACTGCCGTTTTCAGATCCCTCCACAGGTTTTCAATTGGATTTAGATCTGACCGCTTCAGAACAGTCCAGCGTTTTGTCTTGAACCATTCCTGGGTGCTTTTTGAAGTGTGTTTGGGGTCATTGTCATGCTGGAAGACCCATGACCTTTGACGGAGACCCAGGTACTGACAGAGACTTCTGACATTGGCTATGATATTGCGCTCCAAAATGCCTTGTTATTCTCCTGATTTCATGATGCCATGCACATGTTCAAGGCATCCAGTGCCAGTGGCAACAAAGCAACCCCAAAACATGTTCCATGCCCTCCTCCATGTTTCACTTTAGGGAAGGTGTTCTTTTCTTTAAAGGTTTCATTTCGTTTTCTGTAAACATACAGAGGGTGTGCTTTACCCAAAAGCTCTAATTTGGTCTCATCTGTCCACAAGACATTCTCACAGAAGGATTTTGGTTTTGGCAAATTGCAGTCGGGCTTTCTTGTGTCTCTCTCTCAGCAGTGGGGTCCTCCTGGGTCTCCTACCATATAACCCACTTTCATTAAGTTGGCGACAGATGGTGGAAGTTGAAACTGTCGTACCTTGTGTCCGGAGGTCAGCTTGAATCTGTGTGGCAGTTGATTGAGGTGCTTTCTCCACCATTCGAACAATCCTTTGCTGCAATCTTTGATCAAGTTTTCTCTTGTAGCCACATCCTGGGAGGTTAAACTTCTTCATAACATTACATACGGCGGAAACAGGAACATCAAGATCTCTGGATCTTGTAGCCTTGAGATTGTCCATGCTAGGCTACAATTTTGTGTCTGACCTCCTCAGACAATTCTTCAGTTTTATTTTTCATCCATGCTCATTATGGTACACACAGTAACACAAAACAGGAGGATGAGTCCTTTTCCTATTCCAACAGGTTGAAAGAGTAATTTTTATATTGTAGGCACCTGCAACTCACCACAGGTGAGTTCAATTCCAAAGTAAAGGAGAATCACCTGCTTGAAATCTAACTATTCCCAACTACTTGTAGAAAGTGCCAATAATATTGTCCAGGCCATTTTAGGATTTCCTGTGGAATAAGCTAAGATTTAGTAAATTATTCAGCTTTTTTGTTTTGTTCCACTGCAAACCAAAAAAATACATATGGGGATACAAATAGATTTTTTGATTTCAACTATTTTCTGGAAGAAAATTTGAAAAATGTGAAAGGGTGCCAATTTTGTTGGCCACAACTATTTAACAAGATAACGTCCTGTTATTTCCTGTTGAATGCAGCAAAAACTAAACTACTAAACATAGAATACAGTAGGCATGAACGTTCAAAATATAAAGATTGTCTCCAACACTTACACATATATAAACAATACGCTTGCTGCCTGAAAACTATAAATGGAAAATAAGTGCCTGACTCATTCATCTATAAAAATTCTAAGAGAAAAATATTTTACACTTGGTGATGGAAGCACTGTAAATTCTCTGAATGTAGCTTCAAAAGACAGTCAACATTATCAAAACTGGTTCACCAATCAAAACAAAATCCTGTGTCAAAAAACCTGGTCTGGTTTTAAGTCTAAGTCATACTGCCATTGCTTACTAGACTACTGCAGACCTGATCAGTAATCACCCCGTAACACAGGAACTCATTACTATCCTATGAACTCAAACGTATAGATAAAATTCTTACAACTGACTTTTTGGAAACCTGGAAATTTATCCATCAAGCATTTATGAGCAAGGAGCATTTAAAAGACATACAAGTTAAACGAATCCTACACAGAAATTGAACAGTAGTCAGAGTAGAAAATATACAGAATTTTTAAAAAATTACCTAAAGAAAAAAACCCATCATCCAAATATGACACAAGAATACAGTTTTCACTATCCTCCCAAGACCAACTCATGTATAGCAAGTGACATTCAGGAAAAAACTGGATTCTTCCCTTTCCTATGGAGTGTACAGCAAATGATGATGAGAAATACAATTTCAGCACCATTTCTACATACACTCAAGTTACATAAATATTGTAAAACATGAAATACAACTGTTCTGGTTAGCAATCCCTCCCGTCTTAATATACTTCCGGTGAGTAATAAAAAAGGGTTCTGCAGACTGCTAACTTTTCTCGGGAGAGTAATTGTGCAGTTTTACCAAAGTGTCATTGAGCTGGGAACAAGAGGTGCAAATACTTCAAAGGGAATTCACCCAAAGCTTTTTGACATTTTGTCTAGCATCCATTTGCAGTGGGACTTTTTCTGTAGAAAGACAATCCTGCTTCAGAGTAAATACATGCCGACTAAGGGGAAATTTAAGGTAAGAGCTGGGACTGCTGTAACTACATATATAAACAAATTAAGAACAAAATAATATAATCATAAAAACAAAAATTACATTTATTAATGAAGCTCAAGTTAATATATTTAACAACAGGTGTACAGCAGGCATGAGAGAAACCACTCACCGACTGCGGAGCGATCTGAGGTAGAGTCTGTATCCTCTGGGCATTCCACTTGAAAGGCATGTTAGGATTGTACAGAGCTTCAACCAGAACGCGGTCGCCCACCTGCGGGGTCTTCCCCTTCACAGCACTAGAGAAGAGATCAGCATTTTCACAACAAGGTTCTAGTACCAAAAGAAGACCAAGTTAGCAAATAAAGTTTGTGCCAATTCCTGTTTTTAACTACAAATACCATTCTAGAGTATATTCTTTATACACACAAAAAGTCCAAATGTTTGGTTAACAACTTGTGCAATTGGGAACAAATGGCAAGCAAGTACAAAAGCCAATGGAAACGTAAGAGGCACTTCTGTCCTCGCACCACTGTTATTCACCTTAGTTGAAAAAAGACATCTTCATCTACAAATCCAAAGGTGTCATGCAGTTTAGTGACGACTCCGGTGAACACACGCTGCTTCTGCGGCTGGGTCTGCTGCTGGCTGGATCTTGGTGTTGGATAGGAGACTGTGATCTGGGCAGCTGGCTGAGGGTTAGACAGGCTCAGACTAGTAGGCAAGGCCACTGGAGGCTGCAAAACCGTGTGCACAGTTGTCCTTAGCAATACTGGACAAGCATGAAGATAGCACATAGTAGGGCTCACAATATTTGTTTTATAACAAGTTTTTCTTTTTGTTTGTCAATCTGTTCACGTTTTACCAATGACAAACAAGTACTTTAAGCAAACAGGCATCAAAATAGCTTTAGAAACAATCACTGCTGTACAGACGTACAATAAACATGCTATTGTTAAAGCTTAAAGCTCAGTTTTACCTGTGAAAGCAAGGGTTGCTGGGGCTGCTGCATCTAAAAAATTAAGAACAAAATTAGAAATAGAAAAATACAAGTTTTTATTACTGTATAAGTGCAAATTCATAGCTATTGCCACAGCAGTACAGCAAGATAAAGATTTGCAGACAATCACAGACATAAGTCTACAAAGCTGCCAGCTTTTGGAAAATAGGTGATTCCTTCAGAGTTTTAGTTTTCAAATTTGTAAAACAGTTTTAAGTTAAATGAAATTATTTCTGAGGCAATATAACTGATCAATATACTATTAGATCAACAGTCAAATCTGAAGACTTTTTCAGTGTATAGGAGTTAGGCCAAGTGAATGGCCTGAGAAAACAGCTTCAATTTAATTACCTATCTTTATTGCAATTAAAAATAAATCTATTATTTCAATTACTTTACTCATAAATTTGTGCAATGTGGCCTCTCTTTAAGACATATACGAGCTGCACTGTACTGTGACCTTCTGCATTATTTTGCATTAAAGTGTTAGAATTTTTCCCACAACTCTGTGGAAAGCATTGACATTTCTGGCAAATGATAGTTTTACAGTGATAATAAACCGTTAGGTTTTACTTAAAACATTTCTAAGTAAGAACCTTTGGAAAACACTGTTGAACAAACTTTAGTCTACTTCAAACGTCTTTCCTATAAAAGTGTAATAAAAAAATGGTAAAAAAAAAATCACACCTAAACAATGGCTGTATAACTGAACTTCAGATTAGAATATTTGTAATCTACTTGTAGTCATTTTTAAAAATAAGAATAGCATAAACATCAACATCAAGCAATGAAAAGGTTAGCTCCATTTTTTTACATGACTGTACTACGTTCCATAAATGACCAAAAATGATAAAACACCAGTTAATCTTCAAGCAACACTGCTGCTTAAGTTATTTAAAAACACAAGGCAAAAAACAAAAAGGCATCTTGTTTTTTATTCTCTGCTCAAGTAGAACCTATAGTTTGAAGCTTACCCCTAAAATTGGGCTAGAAAACTGAATTCCATCAATCAACAAATTATAGTTGGTGTTAGAGGCCCTGATATTCAGCCACAGCAGAGGTTAGCTCAGGAAGTGCATGGTCAAGAGTCCCTTGGAAAGAATTTGATAATATGATGGTCAATATTATGGGCCACATCGTGACCTTTATAACAACAGACTCTCACATCAAGGAGAAGAAATACAGCAGCCTTGCTGTTGCCTTTACCATCACCTGAATATGCCCAAGTCCTCTACAACTCTGAAGTTCTGAAACAGAAGGAATACCACGTACACGTCGGCCCGTCCAGGGACTTACCTGCTGCTGAACGCTGTAGAGTGCCTGCTGAGGGGGTGGCTGCTGTTGCTGCTGCTGCTGCTGTTGTTGTTGTTGCTGCTGCTGCTGTTGTTGCTGCTGCTGCTGGTACTGCTGCAAGGCAGAATTCGGCAATATGTGATTTAATATTATATCGATGTAAGGTTTGTGACAGTATGCGGACAGTATTGCAAGATATTGAACACTTTCACTGCAGATGCTGCATTCCACACTACACCAATACATCTCTGATGGCTTAAGACACAGAATCAGTATAACAGAAATCCCTGGAAAATTATCATGAAACCCATTGTAGATTCCTTGTGTACATGAATGCTAATGTAACAATGACTGGAAAACCAAAATACAACTGACAAAAACATAAACCCAAGCCCTGAAATATTGTTTGCCTGGATTATCACTTCTGAACATCACTCAGATTTCACAAACTAAGCAAGGATGTGCCTAGTGGTGAAAGTGGTGTTTGTGAACTAGTAGATGACACTCTTGTGGCTGGACCACAATTCCCCAGATCTGTATTTGGGACACTGTGATATAGGAGTATTCTGTGGATGACATGGCAAACAGGTTTTGACTGTTTGGTCGTTAAAAGATCCCATGCCACTGTGTGTTGAGGAAGTGTTAACTCCAGCGGCCTGGTTAAATTACATCTTAGGCCAGCACTACCTGGCTCCCCATAAATTACATCAGTTTTAATTTCTAACTCCACCTAATCTGCTGTGCAGTGGCAGTGCAGATGCACAATGGGGAGGTATCCACACCCATGTGGGTGGAGTCTGTGGCGATTCCCTCCTGTACATCTATGAAGCACTGGGAACAGTCCCGGCAGTCCCGGGGACATGCTCCGTGAGAAAGGCGAGGTGTAGCGGAGAAGGGGGCGGCGAGCTCCCCTACCTGCTGCAGGGCCGCGGCGGCGGCGGCGGCCGCCTGCTGCTGCAGGGCGGCGGTCTGCTGGGACAGCTGGTAGCTGGCGGCGGACTGCGTGTTGAGGCCGGCGGCCGCCAGCGCGGACTGCTGGGAGTACATCCCGGGAGAGGCCCCCAGGAGAGAGGGCGGCTGGACTCCCAGAGCTGCAGAGAGACGCCGAAGGGGTAACGGCAACAGGATTCATAGCAGTGAATATTCATAGCACATGGCCTGCTGGCGCCCGACTTGTTTAAGACACAAACATCTTGGGTGCTGTAAAGCGGGACATTCTCTATTTCCTCTTTGAAACAGTTATTTTCATAGACCGCTTTCACTAAGACGCGAGTCTGCAGACTTACAAAATGCAACTTGGGAAAAGCGACAACATCCCATAATGCTTTAGGGAGATGGGGAATCTGGTTTTGTTGATTACAGAGGTAACTAGAAAGTTTAGCCTGTGTTGAGAGTGCATTCCCTCTAGATTACCACGTCCTAGGGAATAAAGAGCAGCTCCAATAAGTATGTCTACACTTGGTGTAGAAATACTCTATGAAATGAATTTACAATTGGCCTAAAAAGCAAAAAGAAATGTTGAAACATATCCTGAAAGAATATACAAGTCCGTCACACATAACACTGTTAAATGTATTTTTATCATTCTGGGCATCATTTTATTTTCAGCCATACACAATGGTAATATATACGCTACTTGTACTTTAAAACACAACATCCATAGTTAAAAACAAATTGCTGCCTGACGCACTGCTTTTACTGAAACAATGTCATAATTACATCTACAGTACCTGACAATTATGCAAACCAGACTGGGCAAACCTGACAATTTCAGAGCTACACAACACAGACATTACTCACACAATAAGTCATTTGCATTTTTTGGTATATCAACACCATGATTTCGGCCCTTAAATTGGATTTAAATGATACAGGTAAGGCTTGTGAAATATGTTCTATAGCGCTGTTTCTGGGCTTGCTAACATAGACCAATTATGTCAACAATTGATTGAAATAAGAGTAATTAAGAGTCCTCTGTGGAATGCAAAATTACACATGGCAGCCCACCAGGACCAGAAACAAATACAAGCGATTTATAGGCGGAATGGGACACAGCTGTACTCTTAAGCGAGAGATTTAACTTGCACTCAATCCACAACACGTCTATCAATGGCAGTCAAATTGTCTTTGAAAAGCTAAACAAAAGGAGGTCATTTCAATGCAGTCACAAAAAAAACAACAACATACCTATATGATTTTTTAAAAAGATATACACTTCCTCCTAATAACACAATAAAACCCATCAACCCGCCCCCCCAGCCACCGGGCAGCTGACCCGGGTGGAAACAGTTCTATAAAGGGCCTGTAACTGACGCGTCCCCTTTTTAGTTCATGATATGTACATTATGTAATGTTAATACATTCAAACAGTAATATTACAACAATGAAAAAAAGTAAGATATTCGCTAAGGGGGGGGGGGGTGGTTCCATACGACCAAACCTGTCTAGTTAACAGCCTGCAGATCAGGAGAACTGAAACAGATTATAATTATAATTGCACGTCTTATTACAATAGTATAATTATATGAACGCTTTTTTTAAAAAATATTGGAAAACAAAAGACGAATCTTGCTCCATGTAAGCACTACAGCAGACCGAAAGCTCGCCCGCCCGCCCCACACTCACAGTGCAAGCTGTTGATGTCCAGGGACTGGCCGGGCTGGGACACCGCCGTGGCCGCGAACTGCGCCGCCCACGGCGGGTTCTTCTGGCCTCCGAACTGAGCCATGGCGCTCCGGACAGCTGCCTGCTGTTTGCTGCGCGGTACTGCGACTGTTGGCGGACCTGAGGCAGAGAGGACAAGAAATTGTGTGCGGAGAAAAACCAGGACGGGATTCAACCGTGTTCAGTCGCAGGATGAATGCAGTATTACATCACACGCAAATAATACTACCAAGAGGCCACGGATATCAAATACCACTTCTCTAGAGCTCTGTGGGGTTTTTCAGCACTTGTAAAACACGGAGAGAGACCAGCAGGAAACGCATTCAGTAAAACCTACACGGTACATTCAAATATTAAGGGCGATAAACAAGCAGCGGACAAGAGCTCACTGTTGGCCTTGTCATTGACCCAGCGACAAACAGCGCTCAACCTACCCGCACAATGAAACCGAGGACTTCTCCGCCTCGGCTAGACTGGGGGGAAAACCACGTCTTTTGCAACTACAGACCACAACTGAAATACAGTTTTGTCGACGGGGCGCAAGACTGTTGCTACAGAGTAAATACACATTTGCGCCGGAGAAGCCAGCGAACACATTTCGTCCCGGAGCAGCCCGTAGTAAAAAGCACAATCATGGTGGCCGTGCTGTTTTGTTTTCGTGCAGTGCAGGACGGGATAATTAAAAGGCCCCAGGCCCGGACTCGTGGTGAATACTCTGAAGGGCTCTTAAAAACCCAGCATGTTTGCTATTCTCCTCCAGCGGCTCAGCTGCGCACTTGGCAATCAAAGCTTAACGTCGCCCGGGGCACACGAGACGGCCTTTACATGTTTATTTCATTATTAATCTCGTATCCTGGCAGCACTCCGTCTTACCCTGTCCTCTGGTAGCTCACGGGGCACCGGCGAAGACGGATAGGACTGGATACTAACCCGTGAGGCGCATGCGCCGGGGCTCCAGCGAGCCTGCGCAGCTGTTTAAAAAGCGCCATTCCAGCGGTCGAATACGAAACGTTTATAATGGATTCTTTGTATAAACGAAATCCCAGCGTCTTTATGCAAGTCATTTAAATTTGAGCAACAATTCAATGCTCAATCTGATTTAACTTTAGATTCAGCACTGTAGCAAAGTGTCTCATGTTTAAATCAGTTTGTCAATGTCAAGCTACAGTTCAACCTCCTAATGGGAATGATGCACTCGTTCACTTGCCTGACGTGCACAGCTTTTCTCACGTTCCTGAGACTACTATGGCTGAGGATGGAGATTTAGAAATCTTTTTATAAAGCATTATACTTATACTGCATTACTGAATATAGCCTTTACCTGTGTACCCATGTATGCAGCTGTTTTGCAGAAGCAATTTGATTATGCATGTGTGCAATAGCACTGCCCCACCTGGCATTTACACCCATAACCTTCCTATTTTTTTTTACTCTTTTATTTCACCACATTATAATGCAACTGCATTTTCTACAGCACTTTTTTTCGTGGTAACCATCTGAAGACACTAAACAAAGCCAACACGAGACCAGTGTACAGAAATTCCAGGGAGCCAATGCAAGGAAGCTTTACTGGGTGAAACATGCTCAGAACATTTTAGCTTTGGTTAAAATCCAAGCATCTGACTTCCAAACATACTATAACTTAAGTTTTGATATACAAGAAAATAAAGGCAAGTCAATTGAGAACAAATTCTCATGTATAGTGACAGCCTAGAGACCCATTTCTACAGCAGGGCATTTACTAGAGCAATTGAACTACTTTGCTCAACACGTACAACAGCAGCATCCCATCTGGAGCTTGAACCCAAGACCTACCTGTAATCCAGACCATAGCCTCTACCTCAGATTGCTACCCTGATTTTCAAATAATGTTCTATATTTCCAATATGCAAATATTCAGAGACTAACCAGATGAAAGGAAACATCAGTCTTCAGAAAGAACATTGAATTAGGGAAGATTCATCATTCTGGGAAAATAAGATGGGTTATGAAAAGCGTGATTTCACATTGTGCAACTCATAGCTAGTCACTGGACAGGAGTGCACATGAGGATATGCAGACTATCCGTGATCTATCCCTGTGAAAGGTCTGTAGTGAACCTACAGCCTGAGATTTCCCTGCTGAAAATGAGTTACTGTCCCACACACCACGACTGATAATCTCAACCTCACAGCCTTGCTCAGGGCAAAGGGCAAACCTGCACAACAACATCTGACCCCATACACATTTTGTTAATGATATACATAATTCAAAAGAGACATGCTTTTCAAATTTGGATAACTATTTGCTTGTTTGAACATGCACAGTTACACAGTACACAGTTAACGATTGTAGACATTTGTAGCAATGTCCAACGAGATGGACAGCAGAAAAGGATAAATACCAGAAATTTTGGATGTTTCTGCCAAGACCAGACTGCGTGCGCCGATGCAGGTTTAACTAAATGATACCGAATCAGTGGATCGATACTGCACAACTGAGTGCCCTCTTGTCAATTCCATAACAAAAGGTTTGGTACAGTAATAATCTGAGAAAACATTCCTGTTAGGTAGCAAGTGATGCAGTGTTCAGTCCTTATTCTACTTCACAAGCACCATTACTAAATTTAGTGAACAAATTCTAAATTGCATCCATAAAGTGGTACAACGGATTCTATAATCTCAGTAACACCCACTTTGAAAACCCTGGCGTACAGAAGAAAATAACTAAATTCTGATTCAAATAATGCTGTTAATAATGACCATTAGAAAAGGTTTCACCTATCAAAAATACTACTAAAAGCTGTACATAGCCCAGCACGGGGGGAGTGCATAATATCAAGACAGTTCTTTCCAAATCCACTCCGATGTACCTGAAAAACCACATTTAACAACTGCAATGTAAAGGTTTTATTCTGCATAGTACTGACAGTATTTATCCAGATTACTACAGTAAATATAGTACAGATAACACATTCAACTTAATCTTTTACAGTATAATCCCCTTTCTATTTTTGGTTGGAATATGTTTCACTGAAAAACAGATTTATGTTGTACCAATATTTCATGCATGACCTGACGTGCATGACATTTTTTCACATTTAACATGTATTGAGTACAGTATATAGGCTAAGGAGCACCAGTTAAATTAGGTTCAGCATTTATTATCAGGCATCTGACAACATGGAATAGCAGAAATTGGGTACCATATGTGCAAACAATCTTCTTAAAATGCAAGACTCTACAGAGAATATAAGATCTAGGAGACCATCTTCATCTATAATCTTGGACTGTATCCATTACTCCTGGTAATTTCTGTCCGAATTCAAATGATTTTACAGTATTCCCATAATAAATACAAAAATACAATATTAAAGGTAGCAAACAGATTTCCTGCTTCACTTTTTGGTATTTAATAACTTGACAGATAATACTAAAATGATCAGTTAAGGACTAGATAATAAACCCATGAAAATATTGATATGTAATTATAAGGGACATTGTGAAAGTGCACAAAAACATATTTTAAACTCTGGTAATACACTATCGTATGGTACATTGGTACATATATCGTACATTGACTACATTAATTTGATTGAATCTTTACTTTATTAAAGAAATCCTGAACAGAGGACTTTTTATATTACTGGTTTAACTCTTTCAGAGTTATCCTATTACTGGTTTAACTCTCTTTTATCAGTGACTCTGTGAACTGTTTTGGGAATCTGGGCTAGTGTGTTTATAATCCAAAGACTGTATTTCAGACTCGTGACCGCTCAAAGTGCTGTCTAGTCATTCTAGGCGTACTCAGATGGGATGAATCACAGGTGAAAAGGCAGAAGTGAAGTGGTGCACACCATGCAAAATGCAGATTTAGGAGTCCTGCAGTTTCCTCTCCACTTCTGAAAAGACTTTCAGATTAATTTCATCCACCTCATCTTGAACCTGTACAAATAAAAAGTATCTGGTATAAAAAAAGATCTCTTTTCTAGAAGCAAACCTGCAATCTGTACTAACAAGTTACATTTTTTAATATAAAGTTAGACTTTTAAAAAGGATTTGTGGAATCGCGCCTTGTGACTTTACAACTCAGCTCACACCAGTTATCCCTGTACCCGCATGTGGAGAAGCAGGAAGTGAAGAAGGGCTACTCTTCAGGCCCTTCATCTTTGACGCACTCCATTAGAACATGAGGCAGTTTCCTAACAAGAGGAGCTGTTCAACCCAGCTGGCCCATTTGAAAACTGAAAGCCTGTATTCCAAACCCTCCCCCAAGAGCCGTGCAGACCATTGTGTGACATGAGCTTGGCACAGACATGGCCTGTCTGGATCACAGAACTCAATCTGGCTTGATATGAGCACTTGAACCCGCTGAGTCACGCTGGGACCCACAAGTTATATTCATTTCTATAAAGAAAAACTGCACTCTTTTCACAACATGGCTTAAAAAACAAAACGATCTATGGCAATGAAGGGGCACCTGTGCTATGATATGTTTGTGTTGCAAAAATACTAAATCCCTCCATGCAAATGGCTGGTGAGTTTCCACTGTAAGTCCCTGTTGAGGTTGTCCCTTTAGTTCCCTCACCTGCTCTACCTCATCCACCTCTGGAATGTAGAACTGCAGCATGTTCTGGATTCCGTTCTTCAGCGTGACGCTAGAGCTGGGACAGCCCGTGCAGGAGCCCACTAGCTTCAGCTTCACCGTCCCATCCTCAAACCCCTTGAAAATCACATCCCCACCATCCTCTTGCACTGTTGGTCTGGCACATTAGAAAAAGGTAAGCCCCTCAAGCAGAGCACACTGAGCGACACAAAAGCTTGCAGAATAATGGAGCCAAATCCCCTGGTTATGACACAAAAACTAGATCTCAATAGTATTGCTCAACTTGACCAATATCCAAACTTTATATACACACAGTTATATATATATATGCACAGTATATCCTTTTATAGTTTTTGCATCATTGATATTTTGTATTGCATCTCAATTCTTCTCACGCTCCATGGATCCTTTGCCCAAACTATTGTTTCATACATATTTTAGTCTGCATTTTACTATATCTCTTGATTAGCATTTTGAGATAATCAGAATCTATACTAGAGAACATGCATAGCAGCAGAATATTGGAACCAACAGCATTTTCAAAGCCTCTCAGCATAAACTGACAAAATTCACATTAAAAAAGAAATCTACATTAGTGTATATACACATGCAACTTTTGTTGAAGACTGCACTAAAACTACTTTCATATGCGTTTCCTCTACGTTACAAAATTGCTTTACTGCTGATTGAATTAACACATGGCCTTTGAGAAACCAAATTTGGAATCAGCAGCTGTACATGACTTGTCTTCATGGCTGAGATTATTCTATCTTTCCAGAAAAATTGAGACATGTAGACAGGTTCCTCTAACACACCCACTTGCACAGTAATCAACTGTTTTACATATTGTACGCTACACAGTGCTTTACAGGGGAGCTGGCACCAATTGGGGGTGTGACACATCCCTCAGTGACATCAGGGAGTTGCTGTTTTTACTGGAAAGCTGAAGAAGCCCAGTTGGCTAATCTACTGGACTGTTCTAACAAGAAAGAACATTACTGTACATGTTTTTACCTGATCCTTGTGTCCAGAAGTTCCTTAATCATAGCAACGACTTCATCCTCATCTTCTTCTGACTGGGCTATAGCAATAAGAAAAGGGAAACTGTTTGACTTGTCTTTAAAGTTATACTTATTTAAACTATTAAGCATCCATCTATTCAGTCTCTACAGATTTAAAGACCTTAGAGTTGATATTAATTATTTTAGATTTATAACTATTTTTAGTTTTGATTGTAGTTTTAAATTGAGTAGTCTATCACATCTATTATGCCTCCCTTTGTATTGTACACCCTGGACTTTTACCACACATGCTAAACAATCCTCTTTCCAAAACCAACTTGAACCTGTAAAAACCTACCATTTTTGGCACATCATCAACTACCCTCTTCTTGGTAAAAGACATCTTAATTGCAGTAAGCTGTCTTGGCTGAATAAACGATTACAAAATGATATGTCTCACTGCTGAAGGAATGAACTGGGATAGATATTAATTTCAAGTTTAAGGTCCTAAACAAAATTACAGAAAATAACTAAAGGCAAACTAAGCAGGATATGACCAAAATTATAGAAAACAAATAAGCTTAATGCATAAGCT